GTGTGTGTGCGTGCGTGCGTGCGTGCGCGCACTAGGCTAGGCATGGGCCGTTTCCCAGTTTGACGGTTTACGTGGTTTGAAAAAGTCACGCTTTCAATCATCGCTCCAGCTGCGTGTCACTGGTAACGAGCTGAGGGGACTCGGAAGCAGAGCGCAATTTGATCGGCTGGGCGTTGAGGAAACAAGCCGCCTCCTTGAAGTTGCAGGAGGAGGGAGGGAGCGAGATGAAAGGGAGCCAGCAGACTCGGATGCTCTTTTGCTGTTCATTCATGTGCAAAAAAAAGAAAAGAAAGGTGCCAACCGGTACTCGTTCGCCCCAAGGACAACATGAGTGGCCCACAGATCTGTTCGAAAAAGAGCTTAGCAGAAGTGAGACACGAATCGAGGGCTCCGTCCTTTTAGCAATTACCCACAATGCACTACCGGCGGCCATATTGGAGGGCTGTTATTAACAAGCATACTCGAGTATGGCTATAATGTGAACATTTCTTGAACCTTCACATCTTTTCTTATTGTGCCAAATATTCTATGCCCGCCTTGAGCTCCAGCAGGGCCTGGGAGCCCTGCCGGGCGTAGCCGGGGCCCAACACCACCAGCAGGCGGCGACTGCGTGCCACGAAGCTCAGAGTCTCGTCCGTGATGGCTGATCGGAACGAGGACAGAAAGAATGTCAGCCACGTTTTGCAAAGGTCCCGCGTCACCGAGCGACGTGTTTTCTCAAATCCAATTATTCCATCCATTCAAAGAAACAACAACAACAAAAAAATGGCTACTGCTACCTACGCTTGGTAGGTAGCAGGAGAATTTTTCAATCATGTCATTCTCATTTGAGTTCCTCTAAGCAAGGGAGGGAGCACTGGAAAAATTCCAAGCAGACATATTCTCTCTCTCTTTCTCTCTCTCGATATGTACGTCTGTTAAAAGTGTGAACTCACTCCCGCCTGGCAGGCTGTCTCGGTCAAAGATGCACACCGTGTAACCCAGATGGTTCTCCAGGACTGTGCGGAGTGTCCTCAGAACAAACTTCTCCTCATCGCTGTTCCTGGCGTATGAGATGTACACATCGAACTCCTTGTCGTCTACGCAGGTGCGCCCACGCACACACGCACACACACACACACACACACACACGCACACAGGTGTTATTGACAAGAAATCACTTGACATGATGCACGTCAAAATTGGAAAAAAAAATCAAAACAGCGTAGATCGGCACCATTGAAATGATAACGCAAACTATTCTGAGAAAACCAAGATCAAGTTTTGGGGCGGGGCTACCGTGAGTGCAAGAAGAGCGGATGATGTTTGCAGGGTGGACATTTTTCACTCCTCTGGGAAGACTTGAACGGGATGCTGCCAATTCCAGTTTTGAGTTGAACTCAGAAATGAACAAATTGAAGATTAAGACTGGTACCGTTTGTCTAGATTTTGTGGGAAAAAAGTTGAACGGGATGCTGCCAATTCCAGTTTTGAGTTGAACTCAGAAATGAACAAATTGAAGATTAAGACTGGTACCGTTTGTCTAGATTTTGTGGGAAAAAAGTTCATTGAAAAATCTCTGAACGCGACCTCGTTACGCCCTTTACATCGAATGTTACGGATATTCCGGAAAAGAAAAATCATGACTTCATTTGTTCCAACAATTTGGAAAGGAGCAAAAAAAAAACCAAACTTGGTAGCTAATCGCAATCTCTGTTCGACCACGCGCCAGGAGGCATCTTTTCTTTCGGGTCTCGGGTGCAGTAACGCGTCTCCGCTCACCCGTGGGCGGCGGAAGCTAGCGCACCAGTCCGACGCTAGCCGCAAGCTAACGCCTTGACGCTGACC